TAACAATATTTTGAAGCGCTCATGGTGATATGATCCTTGTTCCGAAAGGCCACGGTCATCAATATCCTTCCCTTGTTCGAAGTATTTTTTGGGTAGTAAAGGTGTTCCTGGCAACACTGAACTTGCATGCTATATGATATCGAATCTTACCTAATGCAAACTGGTATAAACCCCTTATAATCCAGCGCCCTTCAAAATCAACTATCAAATACTAGCCCAATTTTTGGAATTGAAGAGTCGCTAAAAGCCAAACGGTGATTACATTTTTGAAAACCTGACGTCGTTATGCAACATGTAGCCACGTATCCTTTAAAAATTTTCGGAGAACTTCATCCTTTCAACAGATGAGATATGTCAGTAGTAATGTCTTCGGATATCAAGGCCAAGAAATCTTAGTAAATTCACATCAGCAGTGGCCCGACGTACTTTGAAATTGTCGCGATCAGCCTGCTGGTATTTTCATGGGAATATTTGTAGTGGAATCTCTAAAATATCAAGTGAGAATTATATGATAGTCTCATCGGCTAATTTTGAAGGAATGCTATTTCAGCTTATCCTTCGACGTGGTATGGATGTGTTACCCGCGCGTGATCAACGCGGGAGTGCAGGCGGCACTAGCCACCTTACAGGTGGCTGCACCAGGTGCCGTCCTTTCCGCCGTCGCGCGGGGGTCGAACACCTACTGATAGATGGTAGGTGATGGGTCATTTTTGATTTGCCACATCCTTTCCCTAATGCACTTTTTTTCAGAAATGGAAGAAGACATAATTTTATTAAATATAATACTCTGTATATTTTAAATAAATTTTTTCTCATTTTTGTAACACTATATGATACTAAATGCTTCACTAAGAACAACAAAGCACTCACAGGCAATCCTACAAATAAACGTACAGATGTCAGATTTTTCATGCTCAAAGGGGATATCGTAAAATCCATGATTTTTAAAGGGTCATTCGTTTTCGAAAAGTCCAATCGGAGACCTCGTGCCGAGGCCTGTGTTTGCATATAATGGTGGTAGATAACGTAATAAAAAGTGTTAATGCTCTACTTTTTCAATGAGCAAAGATTGATGAATGGACTAGAACTAGACAAATTGAGCGCGTTATCATTAATTATAATCATATCGTGGTAACTGTTCTTATACGAGTTAGCAGCACTAAATAGTCGTTTCATATACGGTTGAAAGGCGGAAGTTTCTTTTATTTACAATCAGGCTCCGATATACAATCTAAATGACTGTATGTATAATATTTTTTAATCAATCTGTTGCTCAAGTCAGTCATCCAAAA